ACATGACACATTTGACACTTTTTGTATCAAGTTTTGCTCTTTTTTGCTTGGGCACGTGAACATGAGCAACACATCCGAAGACCCGAATATGATGCACTTCAGGTCGTTTGTTGCTCCAGGCTTCTTCAGGTGTTGAATTCTTGATTGCAAAGGTGAGACTTCGATTAAGAAGGTAAGTGGTCCAGGCAGCAGCCTCGGGCCAATGCTTCTTAGGAACGTTCTTTGCTATCAACATGTTCCGCATAATGTTGAGAATGGTCCGGTTCTTTCTCTCTGCCATGCCATTTTGCTGGGGAGAGTAGGCAGTAGTTAACTGTCTTTTAATTCCATTTGAGCTATAATATTCTTTGAACTCAGCAGATTTGTATTCCCCCCTCGATCGATTCGGAGACACATGATGGTTGTACCCGCTTCCTTCTCCATCATGGCTTTAAATCTTTTGAAGATGTGGAGCACCTGTGATTTTTCAACAAGGAAAAATACCCAACATTTTCAAGAAAAATCATCTATAAACATTGCAATATACCATTTTCTGGTGCAAGATTCAGGAGTTATCGGTCCACACAGGTCTGAGTGATCTAGTTGTAACCTTTAATTGGCTCTCCACATGTTTTGCTTTGGAAACGAGTCGCGTTGTTGTTTTCTGGATACGCAGTCTCGACACACCTTTACTGGAGGTTTGATGCTAGGTAGGCCTTCCACCATTCCCTTAAATTGTAATGTTCTCAACCCCTTGTAACTTAGATGCCCATATCGACAATGCCACAGGTGCATGAGATCTTCATTGGTGGTCTTGTAGCAAGTAGGCTCAGTAGGTACCACATTGGTAGTGATCATACACATGCGGTTGGCACTCATCTTGGATTCCATAATAAGTCCCCTGCTTGGGTGAAATATCTTACACACTTCTTTTTGGATGAGAATTGCTACTCCCTTTTCTTGCATTTGGCCTGCACTTAGTAGGTTACTAGTTAACTCAGGAATATAGTACACTTCAGTGATTACCTGCGTGATACAATTGATATGCATCCTTACATTCCCTTTTCCCATCACTTCCATCCTTGTGTTGTTGCCGAGCTTTACGGAGTGCCTATAATCCTCATCAAGATCACAAAACCAAGCCTTGTTTCCACTCATATGGTTACGACATCCAGAGTCAATAAACCAAACTTGATCTTGTGAGGCCTCATCATTAACATTAAAGCATGTCTGATCCGTTCTCTTCATCCTGATGTTATAATGGACCATCAACACCATCTCTTTAGTATCATCATCATCTTCAGCATAATTAGCCTTCTTCTCATGGTCAGGGCATTCATAATGGTAATGGCCTAAGCAATGACAATTGTAGCATTCCGCCAATGCTTTGTTAAACGATCCTCTTCCCATAGACCTGCCTCTTCCTCTATAACCACCCCTTGATTCTCGTCTTCCTCTAGAAGTAGACCAATGCCCTCTCTTTTCCTCCGCAATCTTCAATGCTTGCTCCTCCTCTTGTTGACCAAGTAGTCGTTGCTCTTGAACCACAAATGTGCTATGAAGCTCATCAATGGTCATTGTATCAGTGTTGTCGGTCTGCTCAATTGAACATACTACATAATTGAATTTAGAGGGAAGAGATCTCAAAACCTTAGACACCACAGCAGCTTGCCCCAGAACTTCACCGTTAGCTTTCATTTTGTTGACAATAACCAATAGTTTGGCTAAATAGGCATCAACACGTTCTCCATCTTTCATGGAGAGTAGTTCATACTCCCGCCTCAAGGCATGAATTTGAGCTCTTTTGACTTTGGAGGAACCTTCATATTTCTTCGTCATGGATTCCCAAATGAGTTTTGAAGTGCTCTTGTCAAGGATGGTCTCAAGGATCTCCCTGTCAATAGCTTGAAATAGAAAGTTTTTCACCTTCATGTCCTTTAACTTGGCATCATCAACAACATTTTTCTAAACATCACTTGTCTGTGCACCAGTCGGTGTTGATGGTATCCCGTCCTCGATCATGCTCCACATCTCCCTACTTTTGAGAAAGTTCTCCATTAGCATAGACCAATGGTCATAATAACCATCGAATCTGGGAATTGCAGGTTGGACAAATTTCTCTAATTTGTCTCCGGAGGAAGAAGCCATAGTTTCTTGCACAATGATCTGCTATCACTTGATGCACCCTTCAATAAAGACAAGGATATGCTATCCTTGGTTCGTAGCTCTGTTTCTCACCACCCACGATCTGCAATCTGGGTCTCTTGAGTCGCTCTGATACCAGTTGTTAAGAACAGTAGAGAATATCAAAGTTGATTGCATTTTATTGAGGTAACAAAGGAGGCTTTTTATAGCCGAATACAGGTAATGGGAATAAACAGAATTGCTAAAAATCAGGAACTAAAGACTACTAAATCAAAGATAATAACAGTTCCTAAAGCTTCTGGAACATTCAATTATTTGACTAAATCAAACCGTAACTATCTAAATTCAGCTTCCCAACATGATCTCCACCACCCACTGAGTGACCCAGATTGCCGGAGCTAGGGCACTCACCTCCATGACGAGACCTTTGAAACCCTCATCAAGAAGACCTGCATTTGTTCATTTCATATTCGCTGCAACCATTCACTTGGTTTGTGGTTTCCTAATTTTGACCTCTAGTGAGATGTTTTCTAGTTTGGAATCGATGGTATTGTTATATCCAAATTACCCAGATCACTGCAAGCTATTTTCGTTAAGTTCAACATGTAGTCCATTTATTTGGGTTATTTATTTAGGGTTTGTATTACACTATCAAAGATGTATGATTCTATCGGAAACAATCTCGTCATGAAATGCCTAAGAAAAATGTGTTGGAATATTTTTAAATTACATACGTTTTTTATGTGTTATGATCATATATACAAATTTAGAAAATAGTATAAATATCATAGATTTAATTATTTAAATATATTTTGGTTGATTTGTGTCATTTTCAATCAATATATTATGCGTAATAACATTAAGAGTTAATATCAGAGATGATAAATGAAAAGTATTAGAAACCACACAATAATAAATAATAAAAAAAATTCAAATATCAAGGACAAAAATAGCCATGAACTACTGATAGAGACAAAAATCGTAGTTTGCTCTTTTTATAAGTTGTGTTTATAGAGGTTGTTTGTCTACCTCTTAATAATTCCATTAAGAGACATGAATGGTTAAGAGGTGGATTTTGTTTGGCAAAAAAAAAGTCTGCCTCTTAATGGTTTTAAAACCCTCTGAACGATTTTGTATCATTGGTCTCCCTTAACCATTCATCGCCCCTATTTCGTTCTAAATAATTACCAAACAATTATATTTCATTTTGCACTATATAATAAGAGCCTCTTAATTATTTTGATCACTTAATCATTTTGCTGCAAACAATCACTAAGAACATCTCCAACAACTTCTCTAAAATAAATAAAAAACGAGTTTTTGTTCCCTAAAATGCTTCAGGGTGCGTTTGGTACGTTGGATAGGGTGGGACAGGACAGGACAGAACACATTTGTCCTACGTTTGGTGTGGCTAAATGTGGAACTAAGTGGAACTAAGTTGGACAAGCATGGGACACGGGTGTTCTCTCCTTACCCCTGGAACTAAGTGGAACAGAGACATTTTTACTTAGAATACCCTTCCCCCTTTCTTCCCCCTTTCTTCCCCACATCGCACCCTCAATCCCCCTTTCTTCCCCACATCGCACCCTCAATCGGCGCCCCTGCACACTCATCGCACCTGCATCGACGCCCCTGCACCTGC